CACGTTGCTTAAACCTAGTAATATATATATATATATGGACAAAAGCACTTCTCAAAATTGAATTCAATTAATTTTCATAATGTTCACCTCTAAATGAAAGTGAGGCAATACATATAGATCAGAAATGATATCTTACCCATTGTGGGTAAGAGTTATTTTACTAAGTGTCACGTCGGCGATCAAGTCTACAATTTTTTATAAATCAACATTGAATTGTCAAAAATTGTATGCTTGAACGCTGACGTGTCACGTCAATGGTGGGTATAATTTATCATACCTACTATGGGTATGAAATCATTTATGACATATAGATAAAAGTTTCAATATAGACGATGAACTGTTCTAATATTTTTATAGCATTTTAGTATGTTATTTAAGAACTAAATGAAAATAGAAATCAAATTTATTAAACTAATAATTGATTGTGGATTTTTGAGTTTTCTTCTAATCAATTTTAGCGCAAATGTTTTAGTTTAGGCACCTACAAGTTTTGTACGGAGAAAACGTAGAACTTCATATCCCACGTAAGCTTGTAAAGGGAAAAGTGCCCAAGAAGTACATTATTAAAGGAGATGAGAACCTAAGAGCACTTTCAAGAGGTTCTTGAAAAATAAATACTCTATATTTTAAATATTCAACTCTTAAAATTATATTTCAAGATATTTTTAAAATTAACATTTTAAAATAAAAAGTGAGGTAGCCTTTCCAAATTCTCTTCAAATTTGGAGAGCCAAACACACTCTCTATAATTAAATACATTCAAAATATTTCAATTTTCAATGCTCCATATATTTGACCCAATTATAAGATATACAAAGAAAATTGAGAACAGGAAAATTGGTGAAAATAAATATAGAAAAAAAAAAATATACATATTGAGAGTAGTAAAATTAAGTGTTTAAGATAAAAAAAGTTGTTGGAGTATTTATAATGTCCTCTCATGCACTAATTCTTTGAATGGACGACCTCTTTCGCATTGCCGCTATGGTTGTCGAAACACAAACCCAATCTCTATCATTGTGCTTTGCAATGTGAGCTGTTTTCAAAACAAACTAAAATTTACATGCAACGCACATGCCATTCTCATCCATAATCTCCAAAACTTTCTTCATCAATTTCGCTTGCTTGTCGACTCGATCTGTGGCCTAAAATCTTTTTCCACAAGAATGCACGTCAATGATCTGCAAAACTAACAACACACATTCGAGCAAACCCACTCTGATACCAAATATCACACACCATAAGTTGCCTCCAAGGTTTAACGCCTTAAGGAGCTTTCTTCTCATTCTAGAATGACAGCCTAAAACAACTAGCACATACACGCTCATGGATAGGATATTAGAAAATACCTACATATGATGATATCTTAGTACATTCTTAGATGATAAAGGCCATATACCTAGTTGTTGGAGGCCTTGTCGTGCCATGTGGAGAGAGGATCACTTTGGTCCGTGGCACTCTAGCTTGCATAGGCAAAAGTCTGGTTTGTATTTCATGCAAGCGCTTGTTATTTTTGCCTAGGAGATGCCCAACTATGGACTAGTGTTTTAAAAAGAGTAATGCGTTGAGGTCAAGTTTCGGCCTAGGAGTTAAAAAAGGTAAAAAAAAAAAAAAAACGTTTTCTTATTTTAATATTATTTTAGATTTCTGAAACAATTTAAAAATTATGAAATAATTAACGGAAAAAAGTGTAAAAAGTGTCGAAAGACGTAAAAAAGTGTAAAAAATATGCAGGCTAGGCACGCCTAGGCCCAAAAAAAATTAAAAAAATAAAAATATGAAAAGCTCAAAAAAGCTCAAAGCAATGTGTTTTGCTCTCACTTCGGGTCTAGACATCGCTTTTAAAACACTACTGTAGACTAGGCGGCCCAAACTTTGTAGCTCTAGTCATCCGTCCATCAAATCTTCGTCTAGTCCCTAGTTTACTGTTTTCATCCAGTCCCTTATTTCAATTTTTCATACACTTTTGGTCCCTCCAACTTTACACCATCCCAATTATGTCCTACGACTTACAATTGCCTGTGGATTGATCTTTCACCTTCAAAGCTCTTCAAATTTGATCCTTCAAAGAGTTGAGAATATTCAAATTGGTCTCCGAAATATGCAGAATCATCTAATAAACTCTTCTGAAGTTTTCAATTAGGTTCTCGAACTTTTCAACAATCATCCAATTCCATCATTTTGTCCAAGTTAAACTCCAATACACTTTCTTTATGCCCAATTAAGTCGGAGTTTTCCACCTATAATATATATATATACACACACACTAAATTAAATAGGATTCTGCCCAAATAATTAATATTCATTAAGTTTAAATGGCTAGAGAAATTTTTAAAACACACTTATCAGCTCTCTCTTTTTTTTTAGCACTATTTTCGGGTAGTTTATACTTTATTGTGTATTTACTTTTGAGTATATTGGTTCACCCGTGTTCTTCATAGAGATTTTATTCTTGTTAGGTTGAGTATATCTACAAGTTTCGAACCATCTTGAGAAACCTAGTGCATGAGTGGGTGAAGCACCACAAAAATATAGGTTATTCTAAAGTCGAATCTAGATTAAAAAAAAATTTACTATTGATTGTGTTATATTTGTTTTTAAAAAATGTTATTCATTCCTATTGGGGATGCATCCCCAATCTATGTGGATGTAAATGATTGGTTAAATGATAGGTGAAATTAAATGACTTATTTAATTTCACTTATCATTTAATGCCACATAGACCGATGATGCATCACCAGTGGGGATAAATAGCATTTCTCTTTGTTTTTGGTCGTCGGTGGAAAATGTGAGTCAAAGATTTTGATTTAATCGAGGAAAAATAGATACTTTTCTTTTCTTCTTTGATCAATTGAAGTTTCCAATGGAATAGAATTGATGAAGGTGTTACAAAACTTGGAAAACGGAGAAAGAATTATAAATCAAAATAATACCAACATGATTTTATTATCTTTCAAATTCCAAAAAATAATTTTTTCTATTAGAGAAACTAGGGAAGGGCAGGTCATCGCCCCATTTATCGCGCCGTTTATTTTTATTTTTGTTTATTTTATTCTATACTTTTACTTTTTTATGCTTTTAGTTAATAAATATTATTTTTTTTTTCATTTGTTTGGAACATTTCACGTTCTCTTTGAAAATGATGATAAATCTTTTATTTTTATTTTATAAAAAAAATTAAATTTAAAATTAACTTTAAACTGGACGTGCAGTAGAGCGGGAACTATGATTCTCGTACCCGTCTCATATCCTCGCAATGAGCCCCATCTCATATCTAGCCCGTTTACCCGATTAAGCGGGTAATCATCGCCCCATTCGAGGTGGTCCCCCGAAGTATCGAGTTGAACATATTTTTTTGTCATTCCTAAGAGACTCTAAAAGATTGAGAATTCAAATCACATATTAATCTCTTTCTTAGTTTAGGGTGATCCTCCTATTAACAAATACTCTCAAACATGGAATATGTCAATGGCATTAATCTTTGTAGAAACCTTTCAACATGTAATAAAGAACAAATTTGCAAAATGAATTTGTTTATTAAGTCCTTGTTTGACATCACTAAAAAATTTGATTAAAAATTAAGTCAAATTCAACAATTAATTTTAAGAACACATTTCATAGGATCTACAACTTTTCAATTACACATTCCATCAACTTTTATCAAAATTTGCTAAAAATCTAATTTTAATCTCTATCAAACAGGGGCTAAGAAGAGAATTATGTTTTGTGTACAAACTAGGATGACAAACTTGGTTTACAAACTATATGTTGACAATATCTAGGACAATTATTTCAATAACAGTTTTTGAAATCAGTGGCCTGCATCTTGCCAATACTTGTTTTGTAAACAAACTTTGTACAACTAGATTAATTGAACTAGTAAAGCCTTTCAAAATCATGGATCTAGCTAGCATATTGTTTAAAAAAATTATAATCCAAGCCATAAACCCTACTCTTAGAAGCAAATTTCACAATTAAATTACTAATAATCCAATTATAAACTTCATTATTAGCTACAATTATTAGAACCCGCGTCCTACATTTCGTATAATCAGCAACTCATGTTACTCATCGGAGGAAGATCCAAGGTTTTCGCAAAACCAGCTGGCGGCGATGGTTTCTTGAAAAATCTACTCCCGAATGCAAAGAATCCGACGGTGTGGCCGGCGATTGCAACCAGAAAAACGCCTCCGTTGAAAGACATCACGGCCAGCATCACCATGTAAGCCAAACCAACCCTTATAGCGTACATTAGAGTTTGAAGCAGCCCCGCCACCAGACGATTGGAGGTTTCTTCGATGTAATTACAGTGTGAGAGCCACTCGACGGTAACCGCCAGGAGAAACACCACCACAAGGGCGAGAGCGTACATGCCGGAGTTGTTGTATCCTGGCCATCCGTGGAACAAAATTTCGGTGCTTTTCCCCCAAAAGAATGTCATGTGCATCATCATGTGGCGGTGGTAAAAGGCACCAGGCGGCGCTGCCATGCCCATGCCACCACCCATTCCGTTCATGTGACCGCCTTCGTTCAATCGTGGTTCGAGACTTCGAGAGTGGAAGGGGGAGGATTGGAGTTAGGGTTAGGATTCGTGTGGTAAACTGCAGAGGAAATAAGGCGACTGGTGTGTTCATATAAATTAGGCTTGTCGTACAGTGCCGTAATAGTTACGTCGTTCAAGAAATGTGTCATACATAGTGCATGTTTGGCAAATCTTAAAAAATTATTTAAGATAAAAAATAAATGATTTTTTCTATTTCTTTTTGTCAAAATTATTTCAACTAATTAACTATTTTGAAAAAAGTAATATATAAATACTTTAAAATTAAAATAAGTTCGACAGTATTGGATAGCAATATGAAAAAATTAGGGTTGTGCTTCATAACCGTTTATGTAGCATGATTTTGAGTCGATAACTTTCGGATGGTAGATTCTGAATCTTTAACCTATTTAATTCTGTAAATCTAGATTATTAAACTACAAAAATTGTTTACGTGGACATTAAAATTGCAAGTGACTTTCACATGATTTAAAGTTGAACATTATATAGTTTGACGATTTTTTCCTTAAGCATTAAGTCATGTGAAAATAGTGTGAGATTTTAACATTTGTATTGATAATTTTTATCATGTGAGGATCCAAATTCATATATCTAAATGGATTAGGAACTCAAAATCTCATTTTTAAACTTTGGGGACATAAAATCCCACCTATTGAAAGCTTAAAGAGCACTTCCATAATTTTCTCTAATATAAATATGGTAGACTTCATTCATTAATATTGTCTAATGGTTTACATTATCCCATTTCCGAATCACGAGTCAATATTGGGATCATTTTAATTAGAGGGAAATTAGTACAAGGAAATAATTCAATTATGTTCAATCTTCCCTTGTTTGAGCCCAATTTTTAGAGAAAAAAAAATCATTTCTGAATAGTGATTTTTAAAGAATGAATTATTGGCATATATTTGTTAGTACTATTTGATTGTTTTGTGAGAAAAAAAAAAGAGTACAAACTAAGAAGGTAAATATGTACTTGCCCCAAAATTTTCGTCAGTCTAAAGCACAGATTTTACTATCTCTTTTATGAATCTCGCTACATGTATATCAAGATTTATATAATATATTATATAATATCACGTGACACTCTAAGATTTATCAGTTTAAAATACAGTCACCTTTTTTCATCAAATATTTTCCCTCTAAATTATATTCTTTAATCCATTATGTACATTTTTTTTATGTAGAATTATCAAAATCCCTCTTTCATTTGACGCATTCTTCATAATTTTTCTTTATTTATTTTTTGTAAATGAATATCATATCTTGGAGTTCAAAAGAAATTTGAAGTATATGTTTCGCATTCGGTCTGGCCATCGACCCCTTTAATTTACTAGGCCACTGAATTGTCAACATGTCTAGTGAATGACATTCGAGTTGAATCAAACAAATTTGGTTAAGGTTTTAAAACACTAGTTCTAACTATTTACACAAATTTTCACTTTCATCATAATATCATATGCTTAAGAGATGAATTAATGGAAACTTTTGAGAAGGATTTCAAATTGATAGGACCAATAATTTTTTTTATGAAATAATTCTCACTTATCTTAATGGTATTAATAGAAATGTGAAAATTAAATTTATTAAGTGAAAATTTTATTTCCACGAAAGCATTCTTAACCATACTCTTTGTACTCTAATTAAAAATGTCTCATTAAATTCACACAAACTTTAAAATGTGGTTGTGATTAACCTTTTGACATTTGAAAATATATGCAACATCCACAATGGGTAGACCGAACCTAACCCTAGAGATCAAGTTGCAGTATCCAATAGGAGACTAGTTGTCCATTGGTTATTAGAGTTCAATTCTAATGTCTTTTTCCATTTTTAAATAACAAATTAAATAAGCATTATGAAAACAAAGGGAAGAAAGAAGCCCTCGTGAAATAATTAAGGTAGAGTGGGCCTTTGACGTGGTAAAATATTAGGCCTCTACACCTTAGGGGACTTAGCCACATTTACTATGGGGAAATTACAAAGAGAAAATTAAGAAAAATAATGGTTTTAAAATTTGATTATTGATATAAATTCAAAGGAACAAGAGAGAGATAAGAGAAAAATAAAATGAGTCAATAAATTTATGTGTATTTTATTGAGAACCAAAATATTATATTTATAGGAATCAAAATGAGAGTTATAATCAGAGAGATAATAAACTCTTCTAGAGTATATAAAATTTATCAAAGTATTTTGATAACATCATTTAATCATCAATAATTATCCCACAATTTTACAGCACCCCCTTTTGATGATTACTTGTTCTATAATTGTCTTACTAAAAACCTTGTTAGATAAAACTTGGGAGGAAAAATAAACGAAGGGAAAAAGAATACAGTTAGTCATTTAAAGTTTGGAGTATAAAGAAAATGCTTCATCTTTAAAATCTTGTCAAACCAATTTAATGGGACAAAACCTAAACTAAAGAAAAAATAACACATTACTTCGGAACTACAATAAAAGAATAAAGTTTTTGAATCCCCAGCAAGAGAAACATAAAGTTAAAAGACAAAACTCAAAACAATTCGTTTTGTATTTTGTGTTTTGAGTGTCTGTTTTGAAATTGTTGAAAATGCGTTCTTCTTGTCATTTTGGAAAACATTTCCTGAAAATACAATTTTAGAAAACGCGTTTATTTTGAAATTTTTTTTAATCGTATTTTATTCAAGAAATATGGTTATTCAATAAATGTTAATAGTTTAATGTTAATATAGTTGAAAATAACATATAAATTTTGAACTAGAACCATCATCGAAAGTCTAAATCGTATATACACTTCACCACTGCAATTTCCAATTTTCAAGAATATGAAGATCAATTTATGAGAATAATTGGCTTGATGATTGAGAGAAGAATGAAGTAAAATGTATTGAATTTTACATACTATGAAAAACTGTACAAAGGACCGGTGAATATATAAAATGCTTTAGGCTATTCTAAAAGAACATATATACACAATGCATATACATAACAGAAAATACAATTAATTTCTAACTAATACAGAGTTCTTCTTTCTCCATGGATGACTGTGTTGCTGAGTTTTCAATTCATATGTTTGCTGATTTTTCAATTCAAACGATTTGTCAGCTTCTAATACCAATCAACACAACCAGTCACCAAAATCACCACTACTGCAATTTCCACTCCACTGCAATCAACACAACCAGTCACCACCGTTGCAATCAACACAACCACTGCAATCAACCAATCACCATCACCGTAAACAACCACTGCAATCAACCAGTTACCACCGCCAGTCACCACCACCACCACCACTGCCTACGATCGCGACCACCAGTTACCACTGCAATTTCCAATCAACACAATCGAGATCAATGGGTCGTCACCAATCAACACAATCGAAATCGAAAAAACCAAAAACCCTCCAAAAGTTCAGATTGAAAATAGAGAGAACTTTACCTTCGCCCTGCCGCGAATGATGCCGTCACCAATAGGTCGCCAAGTCTAAGAGAGAGGAGGCAGAGATGGGCCAAACCACAGCAGCGTCGCGAAGAATGGGTTGCGACGCCTGTGTTCACGGAAGAGTCACCTCCCACGCCGGCTCTGGTACCGGCGTATCTCCTTCGTGGGCGTCGACAAGAGAGAACCGGCATCCGGAGAGAAGGAAGATACGGGATGGATTGGAAGAATATGGAAGAAATCGAAATGCTGCGAGTGGAGGTGTTACTGTTCCAAAATAGCCATTTCCCGCGTTTTTCAGATTTTCCTTGTTTTTGCTTGAAAACGTCCAAAACGTGAAAAAGTCGTTTTGGTGTTTTGTGTACAATTTTTTTTTTCGTTTTCAAAAATGCGTTTTCGAAAATAGGTAAGAAAACGCATTTTCGCTGTTATGGAAAATCGAAAACAGAAAACGATCCGAAAATGATAAAGAGAACGGGACCTTAATTCTTAATTAAATTATGTCCCACTATATAGTGTTCCTTACTCTATGAACATCTTCAATACGACTTGATGCAACTCTTCATATGGTTCTGACTTTCTGGCCTGATTATGTGCATTTTAACATTGTCTCTTCTATGATGTAAATTTATGTTGTTCAATTTGGTGTTGTTAGTAATTAGTGTTTGCCTTTTAATAGATTATAAAGAGTTCGAGATGCAAGCACCGGAAGTTGAAACGTACTTTGATTCATTGGAGATCCTTTATGAGTACATTTGTAAAGGAAACATTGTTGGGTTCCTACATTTGTAAATGACGCATTTTGGACTTGTATGTCAACCACACAGCGTAATGAAAGTATGAATGCATTTTTTGACGATTATGTAAACTCAAAGACAACGTTGAAGTAATTTGTCAAGCAGTATGATAATGCTTTAAGAAGCAAGTTTGAAAAGGAGAATCGTGATGATTTTCAGTCTTTGACTTCTTGGATTCCAAGTATAACACAATTTGAAATAGAAAAGCAATTTCAAAGTCTACAAACTAATTCAAAGTTTAAAGAATTTCAAAAGGAATTGACTTGGAAATTATATTGTGAAGTTTCTTGTGTTGATGAGAAAAATGGAGTATTTGATGCAATCGAGGATATATAGTTTGGAGATAAACATCTCTGTTACGATGAAAGGAAAGATGAGGTTAAATGTGATTGTCGATTATTTAAATTTCGAGGAATTTTGTGCAAGCATACTTTATCAGTTTTTTTTGAAACTAAATATTTAGAAAGTTCCAGAAAAGTAAATTTTAGCACGTTGGAAAAAGGATTTAAAAAGGTCTCACACAAGGGTAAAAGTTATTTATGATGATTGGAAAGGAGACCACGAGCTCAACGTTATGAAAAGTTGCAAAAGAAATTAGATGAAGTTGCTGAATTGGCTGCCATTTCTGATGAAAATTGTGCACTATTGTGGAACGTGATGGATGAATTTCAATAAAAAATTAAACAAAAATGAATTGACTTTGAGGTGTTATTCTTTGACAAGTACGAATGTTAA